TACTTTCTGTGCCTTCTGTGTGTATCTGTAGTATCTGTACTTTCTGTACCTTCTGTGTGTATCTGTAGTAGCCTTGTGTAATTGTAATATTTCCACTATAGTAGTATTTATAGTATTTGTAATATAGTAGTATTTGTACTATAACAGTTTTTTTTTGGAATTTGTACTATAGTGGTATTTGTACTATAAAAGTTTTTGTAGTATTTGTACTATAGTGGTATTTGTACCATAGTAGTATTTATACTAGCTCAGTATTTATAATATTTGTACCATAGTAGTATTTGTTCTAGCTAAGTATTTATAATATTTGTACTATAGTAGTATTTGTAGTAGCTTAGTATTTCTAGTATTTGTACTACAGTAGTATTTGTAGTAGCTCAGTGTTTCTAGTATTTGTACCATAGTAGTATTTATACTAGCTCAGTATTTATAGTATTTGTACTATAGTAGTATTTGTACTAGCTCAGTATTTAAAGTATTTGTACTATAGTAGTATTTGTAGTAGCTCAATATTTCTAGTATTTGTACCCTAGTAGTATTTATACTAGCTCAGTATTTATAGTATTTGTACTATAGTAGTATTTGCACTAGCTCAGTATTTAAAATATTTGTACTATAGTAGTATTTATAGTAGCTCAGTATTTATAGTATTTGTACTATAGTAGTATTTGTAGTAGCTCAGTATTTCTAGTATTTGTACCATAGTAGTATTTATACTAGCTCAGTATTTATAGTATTTGTACTACAGTAGTATTTGCACTAGCTCAGTATTTAAAGTATTTGTACTATAGTAGTATTTATAGTAGCTCAGTATTTATATTTATACTATAGTAGTATTTGTAGTAGCTCAGTATTTATAATATTTGTACTAAAGTAGTATTTGTAGTAGCTCAGTATTTATAATATTTATACTATCGTAGTATTTGTAGTAGCTCAGTATTTAAAGTATTTGTACTATAGTAGTATTTGTAGTAGCTCAGTATTTATAATATTTGTACTAAAGTAGTATTTGTAGTAGCTCAGTATTTATAATATTTATACTATAGTAGTATTTGTAGTAGCTCAGTATTTAAAGTATTTGTACTATAGTAGTATTTGTAGTAGCTCAGTATTTAAAGTATTTGTAGTATAGTAGTATTTGTACTATAACAGTATTTATAGTATTTGTAATATAGTAGTATTTGTAGTAGCTCAGTATTTAAAGTATATGTACTATAGTAGTATTTGTAGTAGCTCAGTATTTAAAGTATATGTACTATAGTAGTATTTGTAGTAGCTCAGTATTTGAAGTATTTGTACTATAG